GCATTTAGTGCACGAGTCCGGTCATAGTAATAATTATGCAAATAACCCATTTGATTGCAATAAGTGCAATGAAGAGGATGCATTTGGTTATGTTGACCATGTGGATGTGCACGAGAAACATTTAAAACATTTGCACACATGGATGATCTTTTAAAATTATTTTGCAAATGTGAAACTCTCTTTAAATCAAAACAAAATTTGGCCAAATGACCAATTCTACCACAATGATCACATCTATACACATGAGCATGGTGAAAAATATGATGATGAAGCTTGATGAGATGCACAAGAAGGATTAATATGAGCCTTAGAGGGTTTTTGTGCATCATAGCAAAATCTAGCAAGATGGCCTTTACGACCGCAATTTGTGCATTTGTAGACTTTACTATATATGTGTGCATGATGAATAGGATGTTTAGATGTTTTAGCATGAGATTCAGCACACATGTCCATAAGCTTGTTATTATTGACAATGCATGATTTAAGAGTTGAATCTAAGGATGATATTCTATTTTTAATATTATTCAACTCATCATTAGGCACATATGCATTATCATTAGAAGTAGAACATAAAGAATTAAACTCATTTCTAATGTTCTCTACTTCTAATATGGCATTGTTTTTAGCATGAGATAAGCTAGAAATGGATGAGGTCAATTTTTTATTTTCCAAATTTAATAAGTCATTGTTTTCTTTAAGCACAATATTTTCTTTTGCAATGATATCAAATTTGGAACCTAGCAACTCATGATCGGATTTCAAATTAACATGCTTGCTTTTCAAATCTATAAAATTATTATGCAACTTAGTATAGGCATGCATTAATCTATCATATGCACAAGCGAGTTCATTGATGGATATATCACTATCGGATTCTGAATTGCTTACCACACTAGGGCTATCGCCTAGTGCCCGTGTGCATGATGATGCTCCACACTCACTTGAAGAATAATCCTCCAAACTACGTTGGATTTCCTCCAAGTTGCCTTGATGTGCTTCTATGAATTTCCATAAATTGTAAGCACTATCAAAATGGACAAATTTGTTAGAAAAGGATGAGTCAAAGGCATTAATCAAATATTCTAACAAAAGCTTGTTCATATTAAAGATTCTTTTATCATTGCTACTTCATTTGGATTTTTCCGAAGTGGGTATAATATAAGCATCTTCAATAATTTCCCATAAATCGGATTGTTTAGATCTAACAAATATGTTAAATCTAGAACACCATTGGTCATAGGGGAGATTATTTATTTTAGGAGCAACAACAGGATCAAGGCCTAAACAAGATGCACAATGTGTGTCCATATTAAGAAAATATATGCAAGCAAGATACAAATTATTTATTTTAGGAGCAACAACAGGATCAAGGCCTAAACAAGATGCACAATGTGTGTCCATATTAAGAAAATATATGCAAGCAAGATACAAATAAAGCTCAAAATTAGATTAGCACAAATAAGATAACTTGGATCTTTAACTCAAGACGGTTAGACCTTAAATCAAAGAGCACCAAGCTCTGATACCAATTGTTAGACCCTAGAGGGGGGGTGATTAGGGTCTTATGTTAATCTAATCCGATTAAATGCTAATTAAAACTAATTAATAAGTTATCCTAGCAAGTATAAAATACAACAAGATATGTAAGCTAGGATAAGCAATATGAACAAATGAATATATCCTATCAATGAGATATTATAAATATATGAGCAAGGATATATGAACTAACACAAGGGTAAAATAAACAATCTACACAAGTGATAGGGTAATATGATGAGCAATACACAAAGGCGATATAAGATATGAAAACAAGAATAAGAACGCCAATGCAATCACAAACAAAACGATATGTTTACGAGGTTCGGTCCCCACGACCTACGTCCCCGCTCCTCACCTCGAGGAGATCTCCACTATCACAACCGGGTTTTCTACGTTCACCCGAACAACGTTTACACCTCACAATACAATCACTATGTAATCACACCTCACACACTAAGTGTTGGTCCTAGCCCGTGTCCTCCTCCTCAAGTGCTCGGTTACAACCTCTCCCTAGGCACGTCAACCGACGCCACTCCTCTTGGATTCGACCCCGTCTCTCACCACACACTTCTCTCGGTGTACAAGTGTATTACAAGTGAATCCTCACAATAAGCACAATATAAATCAAATGATTTGTTCTCTAAACAAGGTGAGAACTCAATTAAGCACAACTCTAAGTCACTAATCTCACAACCCAAAATTATACTATGAATGTAAATACAATAAGCTCAAAAGGTTGTGTGTGAACAAAGAGTATCAATAAAACAATTAAACTCAATATATAAATCTAGCTTATGGAAATTAAGATCAAAACAATAAATAGCTAGAATTGAGTTTAAGGAAAACTTCTCTATAGATCAAGAGTGAGAGAGAGATGAGTTGAATGCCCAAACACCAAAGGATGATCTCCTCTTTGCTCTTGTGAAATTTGCTTCACAAACTAAACTCAAACAAACTCTTAAACTCTTTTAAACAAAACTTAAACCCTTGATTAAAAACTTTCTTAAACTTGTTTTAAAACTCTCTTGGCTAACTTGAAAAGACATCAGCAATGGGGTATATATACCCACTAGAAATCTCAGCAAAACCCCCAAAACAAAATGACCAAAAACCCCAGCAAACAGCTCAGAGAAAGAGCCGTTAAAAAGCAACGGCTATATTGTCGGTCGACCGAAAGGACTTTCCAAATGAAAAATATCATCATTTTTCAAATATGTTCAAAAACATGAAAACCTGAAAATTGATATTTTGATATTTTGATTTAAACAACATTTTGAAACCTTATGAAATGATTGTATCGACTTGATAAAAGATATAATATGTTGTTATGAAGTCTATAACCTAGAAATACAATATTTTCATAAAATTGCATATTCTATGCAATATATTCAAAAACACTAAATATGATTTCATTAAATATAAGCTTGTTAAAGGTGAAATCATATATAGGCATATAAACATGAAACAAAATAGTATTTTCCAATTCTATTCATTTGTTTCATAGTAAAAATTGAAAACAATCAAACCAAAACATATATGTATATATATAACTATATCTATACAAAAACCAAAACGTGTATGTGTGTATATGATTGAGCTTAAAGTACTAACACACATAATATAAATTCCTAAACTAAATTACCCAAGCAATGATCTTGATCTTCAATAAGCTTGACTTGGTAATCTCACGGATGAAGCTTGAACTTGGATCTTGAACTTTGAATAGCAAGGCTTCACCGACATTCCGCCAACCTCCTTTGGATGTGATCGTTGAAGCTCTATTCCATCCATCCTCCAACAACGTTGTTTGTCTACAATACATAGGAATACACAAATACTAGACAAACAACATTAGTGGTAAATTATTTGTTAAACATCATCAAAACAAGAAGGCCAACATAGATGTCCACGTGTCAGTTTCTGATAGGAGAGATGGACACGTGGCAATTTATTTTTATGCATGTCATGTTTTTGTGCCTTTAAGAGTAGTTCACCGATGTCTCTTTATATATAAAGGAAGGGTAATAGTAACCTTTCAAATTGATTACTTTTGTACTAGGGTACTGAAGAAATGCTAATTAATGATATCTTTCTTTTCCATGCATCACATATCAGCAACTGTTTTCTAATAGCTAGAGCCTCGAAAGTTTGTCACCTACAGTACACCTGCAGTATGAAGAAAATGTTACTTCTACTTTATATGTATATAATGTAAGAAAAAGAAAAAGAAAAAGAAAAATCCTACTCGAATACTTACTCTAATTAAACTGGATCATTTAGTTTTATACTTACTGAATACCTATCCTAATTTTGTTTGAAAGCACCACTTTTCATTTAATAGTTATGAATGTTTACTTCCTTTTTCCTAAACAAATCAGAAACTGTAATCAATTAAGGACTTTTAATTACTTTAAATATAACTTGAATGTCTTCTGTTATCAATTCTAATTGAATCGGGAAGTTTTCATGTTTCTTTAATGATAATCAGTTCTACTTAAGATATTGCCTACGTGGTCTAGGTACCGCCTAGGTCTAGGCAGGAGACTAGGTGGGCTAGGTGAGAGCTTTTTAAGATATTGCACACGTGTAACCCTCTAAGCACTCACAATGGTAGGAGCCTCGTGCATTGGACTGCCCTTTAGGATCCTTAAAACCATCGATAGAAAGTTTTCTATGAATATCTAGTTTCTTTGAAAATTACCTTAGTTTTTATGCTTGTGACTGTAAAAAAATAATTAGTTTTTATGCTTGCAATTCCAAAAAAATAATTAACCAATTGATACTATTCAATTAAGAATCTTTAAACAATTAATCATCATAATCAACTAAGCAAATTTGAAGAATGCTATATAATATAGCTTCACCCAACAAATTAAAGATATAACAAAACTTATCAAAGGAAATTTTTACATAGTTATGAAAGAGAAAACATATAATATTTTAGCAAAAAATATGTGAGAAGTAGGATATGACCTTAAAACTTTTGTACCAAGAAGAGCTGTAGGGAATTCAAAAACTTTGGGTTATGTGTGCGTGCTGGTATGTTGAAAGTTGAGTGATTGCTTTTTCTTCTTCTTTTTTTCTCGGTGGGGGGGGGGGNTAGATGTGTGTTTTTTTTTTTTTTTTTTTTTTTTTGGGGGGGGGGGGGGGGGGGGTTGTAATTCTGGTAATACAAAAGGCGATATATGCAAAAGTATATATGAGGAAGTTCAAAAACCCATATCTGCTCTTAAATATATAGTATGAGAACTTTGATTTCGTACATCATTCTTTAAGAGATTACTCATGTCTGTCTCTCATTTGGTTATTCTTGGATCATAGTTTTGGCTCATTGGTTGTATTATTTGATAGATGGTTTAATGATGTTGAATTTGATTTGTGTTTTATTTTGCACATATTATATATTGTGCTCTTGGGAAAATTGTTGATACTTTTTACCTGAGTGAATTGTCTCTGGGCAGTGGTATCTTTGAGGTTAATTGCTCAAAAGATGTTAAAGTTCAAGGCATTATTGGTCCTTGTGCTTCTCTCGAGAAGGTAACTGCTAATAACTTGCCTCTTGGTGGTTGTATTTTATTTTGTTCTTACATTTGGTTTCTTGGTGCTTTGCGCAGAAAGGCCCTTTGTGCTCCGAAACAGTAGTAGGTCAGGGGAAAACATGTGCATGGAAGATGTGTGGTCTTGACAAGAAAACATCTCTGTGTATAATGTTTGAGATAGCAAAGAAAGATGATCCAGATGCAATTGGTCAACCTGCTAGCAATCAGTTCTATTTCCAATTTTTGACATAGTATGAGCACAACATTGTAATTATGCTTTTTCTTCTCTTTAACATCTTTACATATATTTTGGTATATAGTTGAGGATTATCTAACAAACTGTGGAGACCCTGCTGCAGTTATCAGCACAATGATGGGAATATGAGGATACGTGCAACTACTCTTTGTAGAAAATGGGTAGCTGGACCCGGTAGCATTCAGGCAAGTTTTCATTCCAAGTAGTTTGCTGCTTCTGTAATGTTTTAATTACCTAGATGTCTTTTGTCTTTCACTGAATAGTTCAATTCCCTAGGCTATTTATATATTGTATGCTCCACAACAACAACAACAACAACGAAGCCTTTACCCAAATCTTTGGTGTTGGTTACATGAATCCTATTCTTCTATTTCGTTCTATCATAAACCATTTTTTCCGTTAAATTAACCATTATCATATCATTCTTAATTGCTCTCAACTAAGTTCTTTTAGGTCTATTTGGAGATCTCTTTGTCCATTAACTACAACATTATCACTTTCCATAACCGGCGCATTAAGAGGTCTACGTTATACATGACTGAACCACTAAGTATTCTCTCTCATTTTATCCTCAATTAGTGCAACATTTAATTTACTACGAATGCACTCATTTGTTATCCTATCTTTTAGTGTATATCCATAAGACCATCGTAACATTTTCATTTCTGCTATGCTCATTTTTTAGACATATTTCTTAATTGCCCAACATTCCGATCGATAAAACATTGTTGGCCTTATAACTGTTCTATAGAATTTTCCCATAAGTCTCATAGGTATTTTACCATCACATAAGATTCCCGAAGCACGTCTCCATTTAACTATCCTGATTTGATTTGATGGATAACAACATCTTGAATCTCACCATCATGACGAATAATTGATCCTAAATAACGATAATGGTTATTTATTAGGTATTTCTTGGCTATCAATATGTACTATTAGACTCTTTTCTCTTTTTAATTTTACTAAATAAGTAAATATGCATTTCATGTGTTCTGTTTTTTCTACATAGTTCTAAAACCTTTAGATTCGAGCGCTAGTCTCTACCTTTCTACTTTAGATATTGTATCCTTTCTAGTCTTGTTAACCAATACTATTTTGTTAGCAAATAACACACCATGAAACTTCATCTTAAATATGCCTAGTAAGTTGGTCTGTAACTAATGCAGAAAGATAAAGATATAACCCTTGGTGTAAATCAATAGTAATAGAAAATGATTTAGTCTCCTTTTTTTGTTCTTATCCTAGATATCTTTAATCACATCAATACATATATTTAATCACATTAATATATCTACTAGATACATGTTTCTTTTCTAAAACCAACTACATTATTTCTCTAGGCACTCTGTCATAAGCTTTTTCTAGACCAATGGAAATTATATGTAGATACTTTTTTTGTTTATATCTCTCCATTAACCGTCTCAATATATGTATAGGTTCCATAATTGACCTCCCGAGCATAAAATCAAATTGGTTTTCAGATAAAATTGTCGCCTTTCTTAGTCTTTGCTATATTACCCTCTTCGAAAATTTCATAGTATGACTCATGAGTTTAATGCCACTATAGTTTGAACTACTTTGTATATCTCCTTTATTATTGTATATTGGTATCAAAGTGCTAATCCTCCACTCATCGGGCATTTTCTTTATCTCAATAATCTTATTAAATAATTTAGTCAACTATCTTAAGCCTATATCTTCAAAACATTTTCAAACTACAATAGGAATGTTGTCTGGTCCTACGGCTTTTCTACTTTTCATTTTCTTTAGAGCATCTTTAACCTCACTAATTTTAATTTTCCAACAATATCTATAGTTTCTATCATGCAGTATATGGTCAACTTCTCTATGTTGCTCACCTATTTGGTTTAACATTAAATAAACTATGAAAGTAACCCTTTGATCTTCACTTCTCATACGTCTAATATTACCTAAGTTCCTACTCTTTGTTTCTCTCATCTTAGCAAGATTATATGTATTTTTTTCTCCCTCCACTGATTCTAACATTTTATAGAAATTCTCATAGGTTTTGTATTTAGTTTTACTAGCTGCTCTTTTTTGTTTTTTTCCTAGCTAGTTTATATTTCTCAAAGTTTTTCTCACTCCTACACTTTTGCCAATCTTTATATAATGTTTTTATTGCTTTAATCGCTTTTTGAACTTCTTCATTCCACCACGAACACTCTGTACCATCTAATCTACAACTATTAGATTCTCCTAGTATATCTTTAGTGACATTCTTAATACAAGAAGACATATTATTCCATATAATATTAGTCTCATTATCTATGATCCCTATATCTTCCTTCATCATCTTATCTTTGAAATAAAAAAATTATCTCCTTTTAGGTTCCGCCATTTAGTTCTTATTTCTTATTCGTATTAGTTTTTCTACTCCACTTCTTAATAGAAATGTCTAATACGATCAACCTATGTTGTGTGGTAAAACCCTCTCCCAGTATAATGTTTTTATTGCTTTAATCGCTTTTCAAATTTTTTTAGATTTCTCACCTATCAATTTAGTTTCTTTGAAATAAATTATACTAATTTTTATTTTAATCATGATATCTACTAATTCCATTGTCTTTCTTATAAGAGAACATATATTCCAAGTAGCTAACCTAATTCTATTCTCTTGTAAAAGTCTCCTACCCTTTACTCTCTTATGGTGTTCTACTATATGCTTAATGCTATTTGGCAACTTATTAGAGAACTATAGTTTCTTCAAACACCCTTGCTTACTTGTCATTACACTAGGGTAACGTCGATGTAATGCGTCGCTTTTAGGGAACGTCCTAGCAAGTCACCCTGCTTACTTATCATTGTATCGGGGTGACATTGGTGCAACGCGTCGCTATGAGGATGTCCTAACGAGTATTCTATAGGATTCATGTCATGTGGATCCAACTATGTTTTACACTGGCTGTGAGCTACCTAATGCACCCCTTCTTTATCTTGGCTTGGGACACGCAGTACTGACAATAAAAATAAAGCTCTGGTTTTTATTTATGAAGCTGACAACTTTTTGCTTGCTTTCCATTTTCCTAACTAGTTAAAGTTAGCCAACTCTGGCGACCCTATTTTAGAATTTGAACTAGTTAAATTTTGCAAAATTAACTATTTTCAGAAAAATAAACAAGAAATTGATGTTGGCAATAAGGTATGCATACCTTCACTGCAACATGATTCTCAATGTTCTTTTACCATTACTGGTATCAATTAACATATTTCTTTAATTTGACTTGTAGTACCTCAGATTTCTATATTTAAACTGAGCCTTAAGCACATACTCTGTAGGCCTACCCCGCTCATCCCTGATTCCAAGTAAGTTGCTTACCATGCTCCCATTACCGTTCAATGAATGGGGATGAACCGCCGACCGCGTTCCATGTAACTATTTTGGCTATATTTGATGTGAAATTATGTTACAATTGAATATTTAAAGCCTGTCAAATTTGCTCTTTTGCAAACTCAGGCTCATAATTTATATTGTGTGTTGAATGCACATAAAATTGATGTTGGCAAAAAGTTTCTTTTAATACATGTCATCACGTGTACAATTGATGTTAAAATCTTCCCGTTTGCAAAAAGTTTCCTTGTGCCCCCTCCAGTTACTGACATTTGATTTGTTGCCTGTACATATATGAGTATTCTGGTAAAGTTTTGCTTGTACTTTAATGCTCTGATGGGACCTAGCATATTTGGTGGAAAATGTTCTTACTTGTGTTTTCTTCTTAGTAGGAGATATTGCATTTTTA